TCCACCCTTTTCACTATTTATTTTGTGCTAATGTTGCATATGGCGCATCGATGCGCATAAAATCTCTTAAAAATAATACACATTTTTTCGTCCTTTTAACTATTCCTTTTTTTTATGCTTCGTTATGCAATGTTGCACGTGGTATTGACGCACGCACATGCTTCTGATAGCTAAATGTACTATTATAAAAAACCTGTTAAAAAGAAAAGTAAATTTTGTAACAAGAAGAAAAATGTAACTTTACATCTACGACTGTTTGTGTTTTCATGTAAAATCGTGCCCTTGAGAATTACACAAACCGAATCATCAAGACGTCCAGTATAATTAAATAAATGCATAAGCAAGAATGAATGGGAAAAAATATTCAATCGGCAAAAGATAACGTGGATATTTCGCGATCTGTCACGTACACACAGGCTGATTAAACGTATAACTTGATGATTGCGAATGTTAGCAGAAAATATTTCTAACGACATCGTGACTGCGCGCGTCGCGTCGAGACGGGCAGAAGAAGACGGTCAGGTTGCCGGGGCCGTTTTGAAACGTGTTCAAGCGTAAAAATTCCGAGAAGAAATAATGGTACTCGCTTACAGGAATCTCCGCTTGCCTTCGTACCTCTGTGCGTGGATGTGTCATGGCCTAGGAATGTCTCGAATTTCCAAGTTTGGGAACACTCTTGCCTCGTAATTCGTGCCATGGCTTTGCTCACGCAGGTGTATACGCAATATCACGCTAACCGCGCCCCTTTATATCGTTATTTCTTTTACAACGAAAGGAGCCAGCACAACAGGTCCGTGAATTCCATTGAAAAATTTATTCAAACTCGATTTTATCGTGGTTATATAACGACTGTTCCCCCAATGTCATTCCTTCGTAGGAGAAATAAGAAAGGAATATACAATTTAATTGTAAAATTTCTTCGAAACAGATTTTACTGTGACTAGTGAATTGTACAAGATTGTTAATTTGAAATAAATTTAATTGAAAAATTAAAATGTTTGCCATAAATCAGTTTTATTGAATTTAGAAAATAATTTTGCACTATTTCTTCTTCCTACAGAGTTTCACCGTTTAAGACCTGAGGTGATTGTATTGAGAAAAAAATATTCTATAATCTTGCTATTACACAAAAAAAAAAAAAAACGTTTCCTTTAAATCTCAGAAGCACCTCAGCTTAGAAAAATGTCGTTTGACCTATCTTATGTCCTCCTTGAAACCATGCAACTTTAATCTATTTTTCTCTACAGATAATAATATTGACGTAAATCAAGATGATAATATCAGGTGACTCATCCTGCATACATTTAAACGAAGTTAATATAAAATATGTATTTACGATTAGAAGTTTATTATGAAATATTTATTGGAGTATTTGATTCTCCAAAATTTGTTTTTTTGTTTTTTTATACACCTTCCGAATATAACTTTGATTCTTTAATTACTTTGCATTATTATGCAACTGTATTTCTGATTTATACTGGTTTCATAATCAAGATCCAACTAGCCATTTTTGTTTAAACAATAAATTAGCCGATATACTTAACTTATTACAAATTTGAAAAAATCCAAATGACAATTATCTATTTCAGCCATGTATAAGAGTAACTATCCATACTCAAATGTATAAATTATTTAAAAATATTATACATAATT